AATCCACTCACCTCAGCCTCCCAAAGGCACGGGATTACAGGCTGAGCCACCGAGCCCGGCTTGTGTGTCCTCTTTTTGATAAAAGACATTCCAACAGGTGTGAAGTGGTAGCTCATTGTGGTTTCAGTTGGCATTTCTCTAATAATTTGTGATGTTGAGCATTTTTTTCTTATACCCATCAGGCTGTTATTTTAAAGATCATATTTAAGGTTACATTTACCAAAAGAATATGAAATTACTGAGGCACTATATTAAAGGTCCCCTTTGTGTGATGTGAGATGAGCCCTTACCTTTTTTTTTTTTTGAGTCGTAGTCTTACTCTCCCGCCTCAGCCTCCCAAGTAACTGGGACTACAGGTGTGTGCCACCACTCTGGGCTAATTTTTAAATTTTTTTTGTAGAGGCAAGGTTTTGCTATGTTGCCTAGGCTGATCTCAAACTCTTGGGCTCAAGCAATCCTCCAGCCTCAGCCTCCGAAAGTGCTGGGATTACAGGTGTGGGCCACCGTGCCTAGTTTTAAAAGTATTTTTTAGGCTTTAGGAAGAACAGCCATATTTGGAAACATGAGTTAGTTAGCAAAAAAACAGTAGATGAAAACTGAGGGGAGGCTAGAATTCAGGGCCACAGTTAGACTGCGTGTTAAGTTGAGCCTTGTGTCAAACAGCTGAGTGAGGAAGGTGCAAGTTATGATGGGAGGAAATCACTTTCCTTGCTAACCAATTGATTGCTGTGATAGAATGAAGATAAAGAAGCAGAGCCACCTTGCCCGTCTTGGTCTTTACTCTGGAAGCATGACAGAGTCATGGAGGATGATAGAGCATCCTCATCCTCAGGAACCGTCATTCAGGTAGTACTGGGCACAGCGGCCAAATAGGGGTTGGGAGGGGCAGGGAATCCTTTTTGCCTGATTCACTTTGCCTCCTCTCCTCCCCTTTCTCTTTGTTTGGTTTTCAGTCTGCATTACCCAACCCTTTTAATTTTTATTATTCTTATTTTGAGATGGGGTGTTGTTATCTTGCTCAGGCTGGAGTGCAGTGATGCACTCATAGCTCACTGCAGCCTCAAAGTCATGGACAGGCAATCCTTCTGCCTCAGCCTCCCTAGTAGCTGGAACTGCAGGCACGTGCCACCACACTCAACTCAGTTTTAATTTTTTCTGTGGAGATGGAGTCTTGCTATGTTGCCCAGGCTGGTCTCGAACTCCTGGCCTCAAGTGATCCTCTTGCCTTGGCCTTCAAACCTTTAAAATTCCCAGCTGTAGCCCAGATGAGGAATAAAAATAAGGGATACTAAAGAACTCTCTTATTTAAAAGAATGCTTAGGGAGGGAACCTGCATTGACTGAATTTTTTTTTTTTAGTTGACAATAATTTTATATCTTTATGGTATACAAAATGATGTTTTGAAATCGTATACATTGTGGAATTGCTCTGTCAAGCTAATTAACATATGCATTACCTCACATATTTTTTTTTTTCTGGTCGTGAGAACACTTCAAATCTCTCAGCAATTTTTAAGTATACAGTGCATTATTACTAACTATAATTACTATGTTTTACATAAACGCTCTTAAACTCATTCCTCCAGTCTAACTGAAATTTTGTGTCCTTTGAACAATGGCTCCCCAAATCCCTCCCTCCTCAGCTGCTGGTAACCACTGTTTTATTCTCTGGATCTGTGGGTTTAACTTTTTTTAGATTCTACGTTATAAGTGAGATTGTGAGGTGTCTTTCTGTGTCTGGCTATTTCACTTAGTGGAATGTCCTATAGGTTCGTCCATGTTGTCACGAATGCCCAAATTTCCTTCATTTTTAAGGCCATATAGTATTCCATTGGGTGTATGTACCATATTTCTTTATCCTTTCAACAACTGATGAAAACTTAAGTCGGTCCATATCTTGGCTATCTTTTCAAGCGTCTCACATTATTACCTCTGCACAAATGCAGAGACAGCTTTAACAGGTAATTACTTATTTCTACTGTATATGCCATGATAATAGGAGAGTCCTTTTTTCGAGAAAACTCCACATGTGAAAATCTAAACTGACAAAACAGATAACTCCAAAGTGCACCTAAAAGCTTCACCACACTGGTTTAGCATTGAACATGCCTCTCTTTGGAGAGTATTGTGGTGGGATCTCCCCAGAATCATTTTTGTTTCGTTTTGTTTTTATTTTAAAGATGGGTGCAGTTCAGGGTTAGGTATACAAATGGTCATTGTACAGGTAAAGTTTGGGCCTCACTTTCCCCACTTCACCTGGTTTGAGGTCAGGTTCCCTTATTGATGAAGCTTTCCACTCACCCTAGAATCCTTTTTTTTTTTTTTTTAACAAAGCAGTATATGAAATTAATTGAATGCAGTCAATGTTTTTCCTCCTTATGTCATTCTAAGTCTTTGCCTCTAGTCTCAAAATAGAAGGCACATACTCTCACTTTAGAAAAATCATTGTGTTCCTTTGCTCCTAAAAAGATCTCTACATCATCATGATCCATATTCACGCCCCCACCTCCTGCCCCTGCCTCCTGCCCCTGCCTCCTGTCGAGGGCTGACCCTCTAGCAGCTCCCATGCCAACCCTTCATTAATCACTGGCACCATTCTCTGCTTGTTCCTGCCTCATTGGTCTCTTCCTCAGAAACACTCAGCGAGCTTCCTTCCTTGGAGCTCCACACCTCCAACAAAGGGATAGTCCCAAAAAACCAACCTGTCTCTTCAGTAACTCTACAGGAAAGGCTTTGCACCCTGAGTTGCCCTTCCTCCATGTCTACCCATAGACTTCCTACCCATCCCCAAAGGTCTATCTCAACTTCTTCCCACTTCAGGACACCCCCTGAGATCCTACAAGGTAAATTGCTCTTTCCCTGTTTTCCAGTAGCATTCTGAGCCTCATTTATGACTTCCCACAGTTTTATGTGTACACCTGACACAAGTTCATGAATGATGAGTACCTTATCATTCCATGTTTGTATCCTATGCTGGGCTCAGTAAGATACTTTCATGAATAGAATTTCTTGATCCTGCTTCCCATGTCAATTACTGTCCTTTTTCTTGAGTTCACTGCTAAATGTCTTTCCTTGGCCCTCCAATCCCTTGGCCTCTTTTGTAGTCTAGTTTCAGCCTCTGGCTGTGCTTAAACTGCCATTGACTTCTGGGTACCAATTTAGTGCCCTTATTGATCTAAGGACAATAAGAGGTTATACTATGGAAGGATCATCCTTATTGCTCTCTCTCCAGCATTAAACGCTGCTGACCACTTCTTGCCTCTTGAAATGCTTCTTTGACTTTAATTCTGCACTTCCCCATCCTTTCTAGCTCTAATCCCTCCTCCATCTCCTCTCTTGTCCCTCTTTCTCCTCTGTCTCCATGGTAGTAGAGCTTCCCCCAATGTTCTGTCTTCTTTCTTCTTCTCTTTTCTTTAATGGTGACTTCATTTCTTCCCATAGCTTTGATTCCCAATCAAATCTTTAGTCTTGACTTTTCCCTTAAATCTATCCCACATTTCTATCCTCCTGAGATATATATATACACTTTTCATCCTACTTTCTCAGTGTTTGCTAATGGTACCACTATTTTCTCAGAGATAAACTTCAGAGTACCTCATTTCTCTCGTCTTTCATATCCCAAGTGGTCAAGTGATATCCGTTCAATACTTACAACCTTGCTTTCTCCCAGGATTTTTGTTATCATTCTATTTCAGGCAGTTGTTACTACTACCCTGGGCTTATAGGTAGCCCTCTAATTGGTTTTATTTGGATTGGTTTCAGTTGAGTTGATGTTTTCCTTATTGATGAGTAAGAGTAATAAATATATTAAGGATGTTAACACTTTGTAAGTAGCTATCCCAGTTTGTCATATCTCTCTCTGTCGCCCAGGCTGTAGTGCAGTGGCATGTTCACAGCCACAACCACAGCCTCGACCTGCTGGGCTCAGGCAATCCTTCTACCTCAGCCTTCCAAGTAGCTGGAACTAAGGCACGCGCCACCTTGCCCAGCTATTTTTCTTGACTTATTATAGAGACATGGTCTTGCCAACTTGCCCAGGTGTCTTAAACCCCTGGGCTCAGGCAATCTTCTCACCTCCACCTCCCAAAGTACTGGGATTACAGGCGTGAGCCACCACACCCGGCCTGTCATTTTATTTCTCCTTTGTGGTAGATGTCATTTTATTGTTTATGCTTTAATACTAACATTCCTTTCCTTTCTTATCATGCCTTAAAAGTCCTTCCCCACTTTTAGAATTTGTATTGTATAACTTTTACATTTCAATATTCAATGCAATTAGAATTTATTGTTAGAAGTGACACATGGATTTTAATTTTATTTTCCTAGAAATGCCTTGGTGATTGTTCCCAACTTAGATAAGTTCATCTTTCCCCCCATTATCTGAAATGTGGCCTTTATCATATAATCTCATTTAATTTCTCATAATAATATACTTCTCTAGATTCCTTATGTGGTCATTAAGAAGAAGATTTTGAGTCTTCCTTTTTTTTTTAATGTTTTATTTTAAAGATGTGAGGTACAATTCAGAGTTAGGATACAGATGTTCATTATGCAGGTACCCATGTTGATGAGGTGTGCCCCACCCCCGGCAGTTTCACACAACTGCCAATAAGTCTTTCAAATAAAGACAAGCATAAGGAAGTTGACTTTTTGTTTTTTCCTAATGAGCAAATTTTTTTCTAAATGTATCTCACTTCTCTGGACATTTTTGCAAGCAGACGATTTATAGAATGAGCAGGCGCAGAAAGGATGACTCATGTGATGTCAGAGCAGAACTTTTTCTGGAGCTCTGATTCTTTTCTTTCTAGGTGGCCAATGAGAAAATAAGCACCTGTGCTAGTTCCATGGTACAAATTCTTGCACCAGACTCGCTAAACATTGCACAAGTCCCTGAATTTTCTCTGGAGCCCAATCAAACAGAAGAGGTAAGTCCCTATTGGTAATACACCAATTGCCCAAATGCCTGGGCTAGCACCCAGAGATGACTGGCCAGCTTTCTGTGTCCTGAAGTGTCTTGTGTGTTAAGCCAAGTGTCCTTGTGAGCCTTAACATCTTTGTATGTGCTGTCAAGCTTTAGAACCAGATTTGCCTTCAAATAATTACTTAGAAAATAAGCTTGGAGGCTGAGCTTGGTGGCTTAGCCTGTAATCCCAGCACTTTGGGAGGCCGAGATGAGTGGATTGCCTGAACCTGGGGGTTCGAGACCCAGCCGGGCAACTTGACGAGACCTTGTCTCTACAATAAATCAAAAATTAGCCAGGCGTGGGAGTGCGCACCTGTAAATCCGGATACTTGGAAGGCTGAGGCGGAAGGATCCCCAGAGCCCAACAGGTCAGGAATGTGGTGGCCGGGTGCATGCCACTGCACTCCAACCTGGGTGACAGAGTGAGACTCCAACTCAAAAAAAAAATTAAAATAAAATAAGCTTGAAGTTTGGGCATGGCAGCTCACACCTGTAATCCCAGCACTTCGAGAGACTTGGAGCAGGAGGATTGCTTGAGCCCAGGCGTTTGAGACCTTGAGCAACATAGTGAAATTCCATTTCTACAAATTATTTTTAAAAATTAACTAGACATGGCGGTACATGTCTGTAGTCATAGCTGCTCAGGAGGCTGAGGTAGAAGGCTAGTCTGAGCCCAGGAGGTGAAGGCTGCAGTGTGCCATGAAGGTGTCACTGCACTCCAGCCTTGGCCACAAGAACAAGACCTAACTCAAAAAAAAAAAAAAAAATTTGGTATAGGACAGTGAAACATTTTTCCCTCATCCTCCATTTGTCAGAGTGAAATAGTCTTTCCGTTAATGGCTACTTCTTTAATCTGTAGATAGAATTTATGAGGGCAGTGGAAGTGGGAAGGGCTGATAGCAGTTGATGGCCTGCGACACAAAAGACATTTATACTTATCTGTTTAGTCCTCAGATTGTATAAGGTAGGTTAATACCTACCATATGTTTCCACATGAGGAACTCAAATTTCAGGGAGTAAAAATATACCTAGTAAATGGGAGAGTAAGGAATCAATCCCAGAATATCCTAATCTGCCTTTCTAACTCGAAATCTTGTACCTTAGATTCTCAAGAAAGTCTTCAGAAAACAGTTTTATTTCCCAAGCTGGTTTTGTGTTTAGCTGGACTTTAAAACTCCATGGGCCTCACCAAGTGGCTCCTGAAAAAGACACTGATATGCATTTGCTGCTTTTATTATTATTATTACTATTATTATTTTTGAGTTGGAGTCTCACTCACTCTGTTGCCCAGGTTGGAGTGCAGTGGCACACTCACAGCCACCGCAGTCTTGACCTGCTGGGCTCAGGTGATCCTTCTGCCTCATCCTTCCAAGTAGCTGGAAACACAGGCACATGCCACCACACCCAGCTAATTTTTTGATTTATTGTAAAGATGAAGTCTCACCAAGTTGCCCAGGCTGATCTTGAACCACTGGGCTCAGGCAGTCCTTTCGCCTCGGCCTCCCAAAGTGCTGGAATTATAGCGTATGAGCCACTGAGCCCAACCTTGCTTTTATTTTTTAATTGTTTTCCCTTTCCTCCTTTTATACTGAGTTCTAGTTATATGTCTTTTCTCCCAATCTTTTTCTAGTCTTACAAAAAATATATTTTTGATGTAAAATTGTTATTCCTCATGTCCCTTTATTTTCCTTCTTCTCTTTTCTTCTCTATCGCTAACAATATGCACCCGGGAAATGGACAGATGTGAGAGGGTTATAATCAATAACATATACTTAGGTCTAAGAATAAACAATACTTAGGTCTAAGAAAGTTGCTGACCTGCTCAGTAGTTTTTTTGCTGTCCAGACTTAGTTATTTTTGACACCTAATTAAAAATCAGATACAGTATTTTACAGTAGCCATTCCACTTAATATTTGTGTATTTGTATTTTCTTCCTAACCCAGAACTTTTGCCCAGGGGCTGGGAAGGTGGTTAGTGGATTCTTAGAACAGAAAAAAATAGTTAGGTGTTATCTTTTATTCCAGGAGGCACAAGCCCACTTCTGAATTATTCGGGAGCTGTTTTACTGGCTCCGAGTTCCCTGCCTCTCGGTGACTGTCTTCCTTCCTTTGAGTCTTTCTGTCTCATTGGTGTGACACATGACCAAAGAGAGCAAAAGTGGGAACTCCGGAGACCAGACAGCCAGTGTCATCAGCCACGAACCTACCTCAACACATCTTTTGTCTCAGAGGTCAAGTGCATTGACCAAATGAGAATCACATAACTTTCAGCAAAATTTTGAGTCATCTTTGACCCCTATTGCAACAAAGAATAAACATTTAGTACGGAAAGATATGAAACCAAGATAGCCCTGACCTCACAGAGTCAGCCACCACCCTGCCATTTTAATGACATGTCTTTTATGTGTCCGTGTGCAGTGAGGTATTGCCCTTTGGGTGGGCAGTCTCACACTTTATAAGCAGCAGGGGAGATGTGCAGGTGTGTGTAGAACTGACTAGAACATTGTGGAGGATATGTAAAGACTTAGTATTTTGGCATGAAATGTCGCTATAGCCAGAAAATTAACTTGTACTTCAACTGCAATCCTGTTACATAGACCAGTGATGTGTAGAAATCAAGCAATATGATTCACCAACTGAGGGATTAACTTGCATACTAGAGGGTTGGTGAATTTTTTTTTTATTGAGTTGGAGTCTCACTCTGTTGCCCAGGCTGGAGTGCAGTGGCACGCTCACAGCCACCACAGCCTCGACCTGCTGGGCTCAGGTGATCCTTCTGCCTCAGCCTTCCAAGTAGCAGGAACTATAGGCATGTGCCACCAAGCCCGGCTAATTTTTTATTTATTGTAGAGGTGAGTTGCACAGGCTGGTCTCGAACCCATGGGCTCAGGCAATCCTTTCGCCTCAGGCTCCCAAAGTGCTGGGATTATAGGCATGTGCCACCACACCTGGCCTTGGTTGGTGAATTATGTCAAGAATATGGACTCATAGGTTCTAAAGCATAATGAAAACAGGAGTTGAATTCTGGTTCTACTTACCAGTCATGTGGCCATAGGCAGTCTGAATAGCTTCCCTAAACTACTCAGTTTCCTCATCTGTATACTGGGAATAATACTAGGTTTGTAGTGTGAAATCATTGGTCAGTGTATCACATTTAGCATACTGCCTGGCTCACAATGAGTAAATTAATATTAATTTAATACTAACCAATACAAGTCAGGTAGTATTTACAGTTACACTATGGAGATGGAATCATTCTCATTGGATAAGAAATACTTGTGGTAATTACTTTTGCTTTTTTCTTTTTTCGAGTTGGAATCTCACTCCATCATTCTCTTTTGAATTATTTTCAGGTTCCAATAACTAGCAAAGAAAGCCCAGATTAGTTACTTACCCAGTTTGCTTGTTTCTTTGTTAATTCATTGAGCTAGCAAGAAGCAGAGAAAAGTCAATACTATTGTTAAAATATATGTGTGGCATACATAGGTACTCAGATTAAAATTTTGAATAAATAAAGGCAAATGGTCAATCTTTTATTATAGATTAGTTCATTAATGTTAATAGGTGTTTTCTTAGGTGACAAAAACAAGGATTTCAAAATCTTTGTCACTAAACTATAGCAATATTAAAAACTAGAAAACAATTCATCAGATTACTAGAACTTCATGTCTGGAAGTAAAATCACACAAGTGTTGCTTTTTTTAAGTTGAGATTAAAAGAGAATTAAAACGGGTGAATTTCAGGTACAGCCCTGACTGTATAAGAAGTTGAGAAAAAACTCAAGGCAAGGGAAGACTTCCTTTGGAAGGTGATTCTGAAAGAAAATTGTAAAAATACATCAGTGAAGGTAGGGAGAAATCATATTTTGGCAGGAAAGAGCAAATATATAGGAAGTTAGAGGTCGGAGGGAAAAAGGACAACTCAGAGACACTTCTGTCAAATTGGCTTTCATAATACTCACAAGTGCATATGAAAATGAGTAGTATTTTCATAGCCTGAGTGCTTTTGCCACCTGCCAATTTTGTTCACTCTATTACACTTAACATTCTGCATCTGAACACAATTCCACAAACATTGGGAAATGTACATTTGCCTTGGGTTGGGGGTATTCATTTGTGAGCAGCTGCCATTAGAAGTTTGTCCTGTGGTAGTTTATAGATGCCACCATGTTAACAAAGTCTTATATAGAAAGCACTGCATTTTATCATAATCATGATAAAATAATTTACTGAGACCAGCAGTTTTGTTGAGCAAAACACAAATCCTTATTCCTAAAGGTATTTCTCCAGAGGTTCCATATACTATATTAATATAGGCAATAATAGTAGAAGACAAATGTATCAAATAATCTTTTATCTCTAAATTGAAAATATCTGATATGTAATCAATGGAATACTTTCCTGTGGTATCTGGGAGAAATTTTTCTATTGGACTGATAAACAATTCAGTCATGTCAATGTAAAAAGAACACATCACACTTCCCTTATATACTATAAACATCTAGTCTTTACTTGATAATATTTGAGTATCTAGAAGGTGAAAGTGATTTTAAGATTTGCTCTGAGGAATAGGAGAAAAACTTCCAGGTTACCTTGCTGAAGTTTTGTTTTTTTGGTGTTTTGGTTTTTTAGTTGTGGTCTCTCTGTGTCTTCCAGGCTGGAGTGCAGTGGCATGATCACAGCCTTGACCTCCTGGGCTCAGGCAACCTTTCTGCCTCAGGCTCCTAAGTAGTTGAAACTACAGGCATATGCCACCATGCCTGGATAATTTGGGGGGGGTTTTGTAGAGGTTAGATCTTGCTATGTTGCCCAGGCTAGTCTCCAACTCCTGGGCTCAAGCAATCCTGCCATCTTACCCTCTCAAAGGGCTTGGATGACAGGTGAGAGTCACTGTACCTGGCCTTGACGTTCTTTACTTGACTCCAGTTGTTTTGAATAGTAAGAAGTTTCTATGAGTAAAAGTATGCATGCTTTAAAAAAAAAAAAGCAACTAAGATTTTTATCATCTAGCTACTTGAGAAGATGTTAAGTTTAGTGTGTGGTATATCTCATCATATCCCCACCAGTGTGTAAAGATTGTTTTTGTCTTGTTTTTCTATTTGCATAGAGGGCACAGCAATGTAAGCACTGCTTAATTGTGTCACGCAACTTTAAACATTGGCCAGTTCCCTGAAATGTTTGGACACACACACATACCCACACCCTCCCTCTCTCTCATATTCTCACCTGTCTCCTGGGGCTCCTGGTTTAATGACCTGCCAGCCCATTCGCTTCCTCTGTGCCTGGGAATACTGTACCTGTGTACACGCAGATCGGCTGCCTGGAAACCTGTGGCACTGAGTCATGTGACTGTTGCTATGCCTGTGGAGGTGCATTTTTCTTTTCTGTCTTCCTCCTTCTGTCCCTTTTTGTTTCTTTTAGCAGGGGACATGTCGCAGGTTCACAGGTCTTTGCAGGACCAAGTCCGAAAACTTTAGACTCCTGGCTTTTCACTGCTGGATTATCTTTGGATTTATTTTAGGGTGCCACACCTCTGAGCAAGGCTGTAGCTCTGGACTTTTCTGAGGAGCCAGGAAATTTTGAGGCCACGGTGGAGAAAACTGGGCCCGAGCCTGCAGAAGTCCTCCATGTCTGCAAAACCCAGGTGGCCAAGCTGGAGCTGTGGCTGCAACAGGCCAACGTGGCATTTGAGCCGGAAACATTAGACACAGACATGCAGCAGGTGGTGGAACAGGAGCTGATAGGATGCCAGGTAAGACTGATGGGTCAGAGTTCATGGTTTGCCTCTTCACCAGTCACCTGCCAAGACTGGTAAGTTTCTCTTAAAGCAACAGGGTATTTTTTTTCTGTAACTCTGACCCTTATGTGTATCTTGGGTAATTCTTTGACATGCTTTATGTGAGTAGCTTATTTGAAGGGACAGTAGTGGGAAAGATCTCGGAATGTAGAGTCCAAGTTCTGCTCTGTCACATTAACTGTGAACTTGGAGAAGTTAACTTCTCAGCCTCCTATTCTTCATATAATTGGTTACTTATAGGCTATTCTTCAGGATTAGATGAGATATGTAAAGTAGCGTCTGGCATATAAAGTGTATTTTTTAAAGTGCTCAATGAATGCTATTATTTTTATTCATAGAAATAAGTACTAAGAATACTCATTCGTCAGAAATGAAACTGAATGTCCAGATTTGCAAAATTGCAGATACACCTTAAAAAGGCTTTGTGGCCATTTTACTAGGAATGCTCCTAGTCTTGCTTGGGAGGGGCAGGAATATAAACTTCCTTGCCGTTAGTCACTTTAAGTAAAGCTTGCTGGCTTAATCCAAAGGTGGGAATTTCTATATCCCTCCAGGGAGGGGCTAGAATGACAACATCACAGCTGCATAATTGAGAGTCACAGTGGCCAAAACATGCCAACTACTTGCAAAAGTCTCTCCCCCAGCTGCACTTAGGAGACAGCCTTGACCTGACTCTGCTTCAGTAGCTTGTCTACCTGCCAGGGATGAGGACATTCTGTCTCAGAGTACCCCTGCCACTGGCCCAGTCACAGGGAGCTCTTCCTGCTACAGCTGGTTCTGTGATTGGGGTAGCCTGCCATTGATCCAGAGGTGTGCCTTCTCTGCTTCTCCTATTCAGGCCCACAGTTGTACAACATCCAGGAAGCAGGTGCCTGAGCTGACGTGCTTCTCCTGGGCAGCTCGGCATCTCCAACTCCAAAAGTCAGATCTAGTGGGGTAGTTTTACTCAAATACTAGCACTGCTGCTTGGCTTAGCTGAGGAGACACAGGAGGAGACTGGGGAAAAGATAGTGTCATATAGCACAGAGCAATGCTATGCTCAGCTGAGCCCCAGGTGTTCTAGATGTTGAGTCCCAACCACTTAAGGTCATCCAGGATCCGTTTGCCAGCTGACTGTTTATTGACTGGGTAGACTCCATGCCAATTCCATGTTCATCACCAGGATCCCAACCTCATCGCCACTTATAGCAAGTTTAAGGATTTGGGGGCTGTTTAAGGAAAAGACATGGCCACCAGCTGGCAGGAGCAGCCAAAGCGCTTTTTTTGGGCAGTGTTTTGTTGTGATTCTGATTATGAGGGACAGGAAGCGGGCTTTATGGCAGGAGACCTTTCAGAGGCTAAGGCATGGGTGGGAGTGGAGTCACTGCCCAGAAGGGAAGAAGGACAAGAGAACTTAAGTAGGCGAGAAGAGCCAGAGAGGAGATGAGTCTAAGTGATACCCCAACACAATGGAGAGTCCCTGGGTCCGAGAAGTCTGGAAGGGCAGCAGAGACCTGGGATTCTTTTTATAGCCCAAAGTTTGTCTTATCCATGATTGGCAGATCTCAGGTGCAGTTTTAGGGGGTATGCAAAGAAAGCAGACTCTAAATAGCTAAAAATACACTTATTGGAGCTATATGTGAAGGCACTGACTATGTAAAAATTTGAGTTTGGCACCGGTAGACTTGGAACTAATGGTTCTGACCTGCTATAAAAAAATAAACAACATAGCCGGGCTTGGTGGCTCATTCTGTAATCCCGCACCTTTGGGAGGCTGAGGTGAGTGGATTGCCTGAGCCTGCGGGTTTGAGACCCGCCTGGGCAGCGTGACCTCATCTCTACGATAAATCAAAAAATCAGCTGGGCGTGGTAGCACGTGCCTGTAGTTCCGGCTACTTGGAAGGCTGAGGCAGGAGGATCGCCGGAGCCCAGCAGGTCGAGGCTGCGCTGGGATTACAGGCTGAGCCACCGAGCCCGGCTACGTTCATCTTCTTTACCTTATAATACCATTACTTTAAATTTACCCTCTAAAAATAATACAGAATGAGCAAAATAATTATGGCAGCATTGATTGCAAACTGAAGAACTGCAAACAGCTTAAAGGCATAATAAGAAGGAAGTTGTTAAGTGAATCATGGAGTTATCATCAACTTGCAATTATTCAGATGGGCTCCATGAAGCATATGGAGACTCATGAGAAGTATGTCTAAAATTGTTGAGTGGGAAAACAGCATAAAATTATAGTATGCTTTGTTTATAGTCACTCTAAAATCTATGAGTACATACTGTTGAGACCTAGAAGAATCTGTAAAGGATGTAAGTATGGTAGCCCCCCTTATCCATGCGGGATATATCCCAAGACCCTAGTGGATGCCTAAAAGTTCAGTTAGTACCAAGCCCAATATATCCTATGTTTTCTCCATCTGATAACATAACTACAGATCGAATATCCCTTACCCAAAATGCTTGGGATCAAAAGTGTTTTAGATGTTTTTGATTTTGGAATATTTGCATTATGTATATGAGGTGTCTTGGGATGGAACCAAGTCTAAACACTAAATTCATCCATGTTTCCTATATACTGTATACATAGGCTGAATATAATTTTGTACAGTATCTTTAATAATTTTGTACATGAAACAGTTTTGACTGTGACCCATCATATGAAATCAGGTGTAGAATTTTCCACTTGTGGCATCATATTGGTGCTCAAAAGGTTTCTGATTTTGAAGCACTTCAGATTTTAGATTTTCAGATTAGGGATGCCCAACCTACACTAAGTAACTAACAGGCAGGGTGGTGTAGACAGTGTGGATACATTGGACAAAGGAATGACTCACATCCTGAGCAGGACAGAGCAGGACGATGCAGGATTTCGTCACTCTACTCAGAATGGTGTGAAATTTAAAATTTATGAATTGTTTACTTCTGAAATTTTCCATTTAATATTTTCAGGCCACGGTTGACCATGGGTAACTGAAACCATGGAAATTGCGGGTGTGGGTGAGGGCCTACTATAGTTTGCTCGGATGAGGGAATTTGAAGATGAATTATTTAGAAGTTTGTTTGCAGGACAGAGTTGCTCCTTAAAGAAAAGTCTTCTTTTCTCAGTTGAATTTCTCTCCATGAACTGAACTTGTTCTTAGTCATGCAACTGAGTTTTGGTGCACATGATCATGGTGCTGGAGCTGAGAGTGTGAATGCTTCTGCTGACTTGGGTGCATGGCCAGTTGGCATAAACGTGTAGGCTCCTGAACCCCTGGGCCGGGGCAAACTTGATCTGTTGAGGGGGAAGACAATGACGGCAACTTCCTGGGAAACTTACTTCATCCAGCTGATTTATTTTTAGACCTGTGTGTACACTGGCCAGTTGTATCAATGACTAAGTATTTCAGGTTCCGAATGATTTCTTCTGCAGTGTTCTTCTGATAGTCTGGAGAAGGAAACGAGCGAGATAAAGAATCTTGAACTAGTTGTGTGGAATTCTTTTTTTATCCCTACTGGACATTTGGATCGCAACATGAAAGATTAGGGAGGTAGGGGGGAAATAAAAATAGTGTTTTTAAAGCATAGCATGTGTATCGAGCACTGGACAAAGTGCATGGATTTAACTCACTCGTTCCTCACAGGGACCCTAGGAGGTAAGTTCTGTATTACCCCCATCTTACAGAGTACTAGGGCACATTCTTGTAAAGGTACCTACGTCTACACAGCTACTGATGTGAACTAGATAGTCTACTTCAGAATCTGTGTTCTTAACCACTGTGCTCTGCTTTGTTTTCTAAGATGATTTGAGAATCACATACATCAATTGTTTTAGAGAGCAGTGTCTGCAATTGGGGTTGGTTTGGTTGTGCCCCTGCTGAAAAGTTCAGGAATTATGGGAAGTTTTTGTGGGTTTTTTGAGGTCTCTTCCATCCTGTGTTTCTGGGACTTTGTGTATCCACTTGACTAGGTAAAGAAATTAAGTCTTAACTTATTTTGGGGAGGAACGCTTGTTCTAGACCAACACTGAATAATTAACTGATTTTCTTTTCTAGGCTATGCTAACAGAGATGGAGCACAAGGTTGCCTCTCTGTTGGAGAATTGCAAAGACCAGCGCCTGGGAGACTGTGGAGCCATTCAGCATGAGGCTGAAGCGCTTTCCCTGAAACTGAAAACAATCAAGTGCAATTTGGAGAAAGTCCAGGTGATGCTTCAGGAGAAGTACAGTGAGGATCAGGTGAGCCATGACTGTGCAGAGACGTGTGTCCATAGAGGAGAGGACTCAGGATGGACAAGATGAAGCAACAACAGAGGAACCACACTGAGTATGGCAGAATCACACCCCTTAAAGCTGTAGATGGGACCCTGGCTTTTGTCATTTTTATTTCATTTTACTGTGCAGTTTTCTTATCTAGGTTGTTGGTGATGATGACAGTGGTTGGGTTTGAGTTGATTTGATGGGGTTGACAGTTCTTACTGTTAATGAGGTCTCATGTAAGCCTTCTTCATTAAAGGATATATTTTAAAGGAACCTGGTGCAGTGGCTCAAGCCTGTAATCCCAGCACTTTGGGAGGCCGAGGTGAAGGGATTGCCTGAGCCCACGGGTTTGAGAACAGCCTGGGCAACTTGGCGAGACCTCATCTCTACAATAAATAAAAAATTAGCTGGGCATGGTGGCATGCACCCGTAGTTTCGACTACTTGGAAACCGAGGAAGGCTGAGGTGGAAGGATCGCCTGAGCCCACAGGTTGACACAGGGGTGGCCGTGAGTTTGCATGCCACTGCTTTCTAACCTGGGTGATGGAGTGAGACTCCAACTCAAAAAAATAAAAAATAAAGGAATCTGGTGACTTCAGTTGACTGAAAAGCAGAACCTTGATAGGTCTGATGAACATTTGACATCAGAAACACAAAACCTGTTACCAGGACACTTTTATTATTCATTTACAAATGTTTATATGTACTAATCAAAGTATCTTACAGTTAAAGTGTTCTTGTAATTTTCAAAAGCATTCTGTGTTTCTACATATCTCAAGTCTGGGGAAAAACATTCTTTGTGTATAAATGCAAATGTGCATCTTATGAGTAGGATATGAGACCTGTGTCTGTACTGATGTATGATTCTTAGAGACTCACGTTCACAGAAATAAGATTGGCTGCAGATACGTAGGTCATATGTTTACCCTCTCATCTAATGTGTTCTCTTCTTTTTTAAAAAAAAATACATTTTAGACATAGGGGAAACTTGAATTTATAAGCATGATACTGTTTCCCTTTTGATTTTTTTTTTAACTTTGTTCTTTTTCTTCTTCTTTTTTTTTTTCCGAGTTAGAGTCTCACTCTGTCACCCAGACCCGAGTGCAATGGCATGCTCACAACTATCGCAGCCTCAACCTGCTAGGCTCAGACAATCCTTTCACCTCAACCTTCCAAATAGCTGGGACTACAGGCGTGCACTACCATGCCTGGCTAATTTTTTATTTATTCTAGAGACAAGGTCTTGCCAAGTTGCCCAAGCTGGTCTTGAACCCCTGAGCTCAGGCAATCCTCTCACCTCCACCTCCCAAAATGCCGGTTTTTTGTTTTTTTCTTTTTTACTTTGCTCTTAAGAAAAAAAGACAATAATTTCTTTTTTTTTACTTTTAGTGATTCATTGAATGAATTAGGTTGAGAAAACAAGATGATCACTTTACCAGATGTAGTGGGTTTTGAAATCGTTATGAAATAAGTACATTAAATCATAGTACATAATTATAGTAAATAACAAAATCCCATCATTTATTTCATATAAAATGCTTCCATTATGTAGTCTCATTGTTAGAATTGAAATAGAGTGGATTTTTCTTTTTGAATAAGTAGTCTGCCGTCATGGCATTTTTTTTGCAGCATTCTACCATTCTAAAGAAACCTTCAGAGCATCCAAAAGTTCTCCAACCAGTTAACCTTTCCGAATTGGAATCCATCATAGCCAGACGGCCACAATTCAACAAGCAAAAGGATTTCCAGCAGCAACAGGTAAGTTCAGCCCCCAGCAGTTGTAAGGACAAGAATACAGCTTTCTAGCCAGGCATAGTAGCATGTACTCATTATCCCAGCTACTCGGGAGGCTGAGGCAGGAGGATCACTGGAACTGGGAGTTCAAGACCAGCCTGGGCAACATAGCAAGACCCCATCTCAAAGCAAAAACAGACACAAACAAAAAAGAGTAAAGCTTTCTATATGAAATTTCCTTTTGGACTAAATACTGAACGGCCATTGGAGGGTCAGCTTATGTGACCAGATGCAAAGTGTGGTGTGTGGGTGTTTGTGTGCGTATAGCAGCTCTGAGTTTTCAGCATTTACCTGCTTTGCTTCCAACTGCTACCACTAACTCTGCTCCTTTATTCACTTGCATCTTATATCAAACTAAACGAATTATCTTCAGGGTGAACTTCTGTAATTGCAACACTGCTTTGTCTGCCCTTTCAAAATGTGTTTGTATATTTTTGGTGATTTTCCGTGCACGAGGAGGGAACCAAAAAAACCTAGAATTTATTTATGAAAAATGGTGTATTCACTCTTACATGTCTAAACCTCAGTCCCCTTCAAAGGACTCTCCGTTTGATACAGTGCACCTATCGCGATGCATTTTCCACTCCTCAAAACAGTGAACTTGTCCATTTTGATGCCCTTGAGTGCCTCTCCTGTTTTTTGTTTCACTTCTTCCACATCTGCAAAACGATTCCCTTTGAGGACTTTTTTCATCCAGGAAAACAAAAAAATCACTCAGGGCAAGATCAGGTGAATAGGGAGGGTGGGGCCCAGGTGTTGTGTCGTTTTGGGTCAAAAACTGCTGAACACTCAGCGCGGTGTGGAAAGGTATCCTCATAAGATAGGCAAACGCGCTGAATAATCTCCACACAAAAAATTCACTGAAACTGAACGCAGCCCCTCACAGCAATGCTAGCTGGTCCACTGATGCCGATGGGTTTCTAGAGCACTTGCCTGGCTGGGGATCCTGAACTACAAGGGGCCCAGCCTGCACTCCAAAAGATAATTCCGGTTTTTTGGAGGTTCCCCCTCGTATGGAATATAGTTTAAATAGCAATGTTATTTTGTGAGTATTTTAAAGAGCATTTTGAGAAGTAAAAGTTAACAAAAACAAGGAAACAAGAAAAATAATTGTAAATAATGATTTAGGAAGTATCTCAAAAGTAGATGGTCTCAGAAGAAATGCTTGGGTACTAATTGAAAAACTCGATTGATTGGATCATTCGAATCTTGTTCACTTGTAGGTTCTGGAGTTAAAACCAATGGAACAGAAAGATTTAATCAAATTCATAGAATTTAATGCTAAGAAAATGTGGCCCCAGTCTCACCAATGTGATAAAGATATAACCCAGGAATCATCTGTGAGGTAAAACGTTTTTAATAGTTGGAGAATTCAGTGGGAAAATTGAGTGTTTCTTTAAAAAGCACTCATAAAACATTGAATGGAATACAAAATGTTTAATGTTGATTATTCTTTTTGTCTTTTGTTCTTCCTGAAAAGCAACCAGGCATCCAGCCCTGAAAACGATGTTCCAGGCTCGACCTTGTCACCCCAAGGCCAAAGCAGAGAAAAATGGCGATACCTGCATCATGAACTGTCATCAAGAAGAAGGCTGCCTCTCCCTCAGCTGGTGGAGGCTCAGGTCAGTCTGCATCTACACACAGTGTGAATAGCCCTTTCATCTGTGAAAAGCCAACAAGCATTCATTAAGTGAACATGCACATTCTGCATTATGTAGCCGTTTATTTTCAGAAAGCTGTGATGTGGCCAGGTGCGGTGGCTTATGCCTGTAATCCCAGCTCCTGGAGAGGCTGAGGCAGAAGAATCACCTGAGCCCAGGAGGTCGAGGCTGTGGTGAGCTGTCATCATGCCACTGTACTCCTGCCTGGGCAACAGAGTGAGACCCTAAGTCAAAAGACAGAGAAAGAGAGAGAAAGGAAGAAAGAAAGAAGCACAGAATCGTTCTCTCTTCTAAAATCTTATCTCATTTTCACTACTTTGTTTAGCTTTTCAATAACAAATCAAGATGCAAATCTATTCCTAGAGATGACTTGTATTCTATTCTAAGAGTTAGCTATACTAGGAACCAACTAGTAAATAAAGAGTAAATGGACTAGTAAATGATGATAAATTAGTAGCTAGCCTCATAGCATGAATATTAGTGCTACTAAATTGAAAGATCAGTGAATGATGTACTTTATTTCTTTTTTTTTTTTTTTGAGTTGGAGTCTCACTCTGTCGCCCAGACTGGAGTGCAGTGGCCGCTCCCGGCCACCGCAGCCTCGGCCTGCTGGGCTCCAGTGATCCTTCCGCCTCAGCCTTCCGAGTAGCTGGATTT